AAAAAAAAAAAAAGAAGCCCTTAAGTTTAGCATTACTTGCAATAAAACATAATTTATCTTTCGAAACTATTTTCCTAGCAAGCACCCCTCATTTAATTTGTGAACTTTTCTGACTTTGGAAGTTTGTAAATAGACTAACATCAATTGCTATTTGTCTCATCCTATTTTATTACAATCAGAATCATGTGTAAATAATCGAAAATAAAAATTGGGATATAAAGGAAGAACCTGCATCTAAGGAGACCCTCAGGATCTCCAAACAAGCCAAGAAACCTCTGGTTTTTGGAACCAGCACATTTTTCAGTACGGGCAATCCATTTTCAATGGCAAACTTCTGGTTATTTTTGCACTTTTTTTCACTGTACGTAAAGCAGGACGACAATAAGATATATATAACATTTTCTATGAAAAATGCACAACCCGCCCGGTGAATGACAAAAATATCTTTTGACATAATGTCTAATTTAGCAACAAAACATTAGAAACAATTAATAAAAAAAAATCAGTTATTTTAAAAAATTACAACCATCAATGCATGAGGTTTATGTTGGTTTCATAGGGCAACTCTCTCAAAAGGCAAAAGATCTACAACTCTGACAGACAGAAAATAATTACGTACAAGAAAAAAGGGGCTAACTAAGTTATCCAATTCCCTTCCATCAGGTAAAAAAAAAAGAAAAAAGAAAGATATGAACCTACATTTAAGACTTAAGGGAAATAAAAAGGAAGCAGTAGAGTTTACGTGTAATCAGTTCCTTCGGGAAAAACAGCTAGCCAAAGTGGGTCTCGAGGATCGGTAAAGGTCTCAAGCATTTGGCGCATTACTGGCTCATCAACTTCCCACTTCCTCTCCACAGGAACAAACTCTAAGACGTGAAATCCCCACCCGAAAATCGGAAGTTTCATCAAACTACTCTTCAGAACGTACTTTATGTATCCCAAGCATCCTTTCCTGAGTGCAAGATTCCACAGATACATCCAGTCCACCTCTGTTCTGTGGTTGGACATTATCAGAACACGTTTTTCAACCGGAATTCTGTCCCCGGAAAAGACAAACCTAGTTTTGTTTATTTTTTCGAAAAAGAATGGCCATAAACCAAGCCACAACCCAAACAAAAGGGATGCACACTTTCTACTATAATGTACACTAAACAAACGCAATACAGAGACCGGTGGCACAAAATACACTAAGAACATGAATGCAGTTGAAAGATAAACTGCTAGACATAGCACGCCCCTGAAAATTCGAAAAGGGGTCAATGGGAAATGCTTTACTGTGTTGTCGGGTTGATTGGGCAGGCTAGAATCCATGATTTTATAGTTACCCTTTACTACTCTCAGCTATAAGTGGGTACAAAATAATGATCTTCAATCTGTACGGTGTATCTTATGATTTGAGCTTCTTTTGAGGCAACGAGGAGATCAATGGCCATTACAGATCACAGAAATTCGTAAGGCAAAAGTCTGCAATCAAATAAGTGTACCTCAAGTTAGCCTCAATTGCAAAATTACATCTCTAAGAATATTCTGAACAGAAAAGTTTAAGTTGATGCAATTATGCAGGTACTAAATATAATTACATTAAAGATGAAGAAATTGAAACAACTTCTCCTTTAAAGAATGTTAAAACCACAGATGAATTCAAAGATACTTGGAGATTTCTTCTTTCATCCCAATAATGGTCATAACAGTAATCAACAGCACAACTGCTCATCCACCACATTTTTCCTTAAATCACAAAGAAACACTGACCATAGTAAAGATCACTCTTTTCTTCTTTTTCTTCTTTTTGATTGATGATTTGCCTTCATCAAATCTTCCACTTATTACTAAAATGTCAACCAAATTCGAACTCTATCCCTATATTCTGCTCTTTTAGTAACAAACTCTCTTACCTAATTTTCTACAATTATTCGCAACTGCATGCTAAATTAAAGACATGAAGCTACCATAAATAACATCGTATCTAAAGTTGTCGATTTAGTAGTAATCCTTCCAAACATCCATGACCAAAAAAACCCGATCTGTAGCATCTAGCAACTTTTTAAGACAAATCCAAACGAATGTCAAGACAAATAACAAGTTAAATCAACATCAAAACAAAGATCTCCGACTCAACATAAGAAAATCACAACAATGTCATCGGAAAAAAACGAAATCCACAATTACTCGACTCGAAATACATACTTTTTCTTTTATTTTGTTCGTCGTCGTCTTCAGACATCACCTAAATTGACTGGTCTGAAGAAGCTCAAACGCACGAAAACCCAAAGCCCAGGCAATGCAACAGGGACTTGAAATATTATGCGTCCGATTATATAATTATTCAGAGGGGTGTGGTGTGGACCCGAAGACGGCGGGGGGAGAGGAGAAGCCGCCAGAAATTATTCAATTGGTTGATATGTGAGTGAGATGACTGCTGCTTTTCGTCGACCCATTCAGCCCGACAATCTGCGCCGGTGTTTGGATCTCATTTGGCCTGTTAAACTATCGCAAATACTTAGGTGTGCCTGTGTCAGGGCCTTTTGTGAAATACAGCTCCCTAAAAGCGCGTGAGGTAAGGAGGTAAGACAATGTTTTTTTAAATGTGACATGTGTTTCATTTTTATTGGGTAATAAAATTCATATACCATATTATATAAATTAAATTATCATTCATATTTTGTATCA